CCTTAGGATAGGCCTCACATAACTTTCACTAACCTAAGCACTCAAACTTTCAGAGACGTATATGGTGATAGGTCATGAAATATATCATGGGGATTTCATGATACACAGGATATGTTTATGGTACGCAGGAAGAGCGGGAATAAAGAATTATTCAAGGATGCTCATGATTTCCACTTATTTACCAAGGTTGATCTTATTGAGCTATCCAAAGCTGCCTTCTGAAATCTGTCAAAGAATCCCAAAGCCAGCCAATTCAAATCTTTCTTGGAAGATCAAGTGGCTAAGGGTTTTCCATCAATGAAAATTGCAGAGTCCTTTGTTGAAGTTCACAAGCATGTTTTTGATCACGAAACTAGCGAGCCTATTCGGGCAGTGATGTGGCCTGCCACTGCTCAAGTCAAACACATCCCTGTTTCTCAAAATTGTCCTGATGGATCTCTACACTCTATGCATTATTGGGTGTATGATGAAACATCAGATGCTGCTGCTATCAAGCTCAAAGAAGATTACATTCGCTTGTATGAAAAAAGGGATCTACTTCAGTTTGGTGAGTGGGACATTCATCAGCTTGCAAGTCATCAAATTATTGTTGCTGATGAGTTATTTGAACCTGCTGCAAAGGAATATACAAGGATGGTGGCTACGCTTATCAACAAGAGAATATGGAATGGAGCTATGGGGAGATCCGATGTGCTGGTTGTTGACAAAGACTACATCCAAGCCTACTCCAAACCAAGGGGGAGATTGAAGGGTCATGTAAATGGTTTGGGCTAGGCTTAGCATTTGATTTGTTTTGGTTTTATGTCTGTAATTTCACTTTTTGTTAGTTTGTGTTTTGTGATGTTTACGACCGTAAACACGTTTACGGCCGTAAACGTGTTTACGGAAGCAAACTATGTTTGCAGTCTTATCTAGTATAAATAGTCTCCGAGTTGGTCTTTTGAGGGGTTCGATGCTTTAGAGTTTACGGCTGGTATTTGAGTTGTATCTAACGATTCAAGTGTTTAATCATATGCAAGTTCAATCCATTCATCTTATTCATGTTATTCTTGTCTTGTGATTGTTTGATTATCAGTGATTGATCCAAATTCGGACCTAACAATTTAGAAAATTTTCAAAAATCCAAAAACATTAGAAATTCAAAAAAACTCAAAAATATGTTGGTTATAAAATGTTCTTGAGGGAGATGTTTTGAGAAGTGATATGATCATGTGATACCAGGCAATACGACGCTCGGATAGGTTGAGCAGATATATATATATATATATATATATATATATATATATATATATATATATATATATATATATATATATATATGGGAATCCACTTGTTATATTAAATGAACCCGTACTTGGAACCGTGGTTTAACTTTTCCTCGATGTGCGGATTTTGTCCTTAATTCCGGTTGGATGGGGCGACTAGTGAATTCCGATGAATTAGGTCTGTAGAAGGTTATATTCTTTCTTTCTATCTGTTAGTCATATGTTACCTCCTCTGCGTGACTCAAAATCCGTCCTGGATTGTAACATATGCAACTCTATTTCTCTGCATCTGCTATATATGCAATTCTTTCTATCTGTAAGCCATATACTGTCTCCTTTGCGTGACTCACAATCCGACCTGGTACACAGTATATGCACCATTCTACTTCTTAATCTCTCTAAAACCTCAGTAAGTCATATGTTTCACCCTCTTCTTGATTGGAAGAGATCTGACCTGGGTGTATAACATATGCATTCTAAATCTATCTTCTCTCCTAATGTTGGTCTGCTCATCCGATGTAAGGAGTACTCTGGAAGTCCTTGATTACCGGGGCATATCAGGAAGTGGGAAACATGTTCTAGTACACTTAAAATTGAACACATACAAATTGTCTGTAGATCTCACTGCTCAATTTAGGTGGACAACAATATCCATGGTCGTCATCAGCTGAATCATCCTTAAGATATAGTATCTAAGAAATTAGGATCAAATATAATATCTAGGAACTTAAGTTCACCTTGTCTTGTAGCAAATAGTATGTCGTAAATCTGTCACAATTTTTCGTGTTTAAGTGGACCACAATACCGACGATCGACCAGACAAAGACGTGAAGATAGAAGGTACCGACAAGTGGATAAAGGTTGTCTAAAAACTTTGATCCCAAATCACTCTTAAATTTAGATATCATTTTTATATTGTTAAATTTGTCATAGTTTCTTCTAATTTAAATATTAGGGGAGAATTAAAAATTAAATAAAAAATCAGAAAAATTAAAAATCCAAAAATAGTGTTATTTCTGTTTTATTTCTTGTTCAGAAAAATCAAAAATCCAAAAATATATTTTTTTTCCGTTTTAATTTGTGTGCTAAGTTTTCTTTTAGTTTTGTTTTATCTTGAAAAGTGATTTCAGGTATAGATTAGACTCATGGAGTTTGTGTTGAAGATTTCTAAGCCAATGTTTCATCCGTAAGCATCGAAGAATTCGCATTCGAAGGAGCAGGAAATGAAGATTATTCTTTCGACATTCAATCTTTCAACCCCAGAAGCAAGGTGAAGATGAAATTGAAGATTATATGACGGATTACATTGAAGCCTCCTCAATCAATCTGCTGATATCTTAATCCTGCTGAAGTGATCTAGAAGTTCAGTTCTCTCTGATGCTCTCTCAAAAGATTCTCAAGCTGAAAGCGCTATCTTCCAAGAATCAGTACATCAAGCCTTCTCACCCGACGTGCATTCAAAGCCAAATTCTGAAGAAATACCCAACTTCTCAAGATGAAGTCATTCATAGAAGATTCATATATTCATCTTGATGCTGTGAAGAATTTGAAGATTAATGCTGAAGCCAAGCTCTCGATGAAGATTAACAAGAAAAGCCAGCTACTTTTTAGGGGGAGCTTGTTGGGTCATTTAAGAAGAGAAAAGAAAGCTATAAACTAAGGGGGAGATTGTTGGGTCAAAAATATGGTTTATACTTTTCTTTTTCTGAGAAATTGTATTTTTATGTATTGTTTAGTTTTTTACGGTCGGTGAGTGAGTTTACGGTCGTAAACCCTGTTTACGGCCCATGTTTCCCGTGTGTATATATAGGGGTGAAGGGTGTGAGGAAAAGATTGATGAACACCAAGGAGCTTAAGTGTGTGCATTTGAAGGTGTTCTAGAGAGAGAAACTAGAGAGAATTTTTGTGTGTATGAATCTTAGTATCCGGATCTTCATTCTAATCATATCATACATAGATTCATCATCTTCTTCTTTTTATCCTTCTCTTCTATTTGATCTGACATCATCCGTTTGATTGGGATTCCGCACCATCAAACGGATCTGATTGATACACATGCATTTTTGGGGACTTACAATACTAAGCTTAGAACACTTAAACAGACTCTAAACAGTGCTAAAAGATAGTAGAAACAAGTCTGACTTTGATTGAATTGAATGGTTGTACAAGATAGGAATTCCGGATTGTTACATTAATGAAATGGGTCATCAACATGTTCTTGCCAAGATTAGTGATTTTAAGAATTCAGGTTTACCCTATCTTTGGAACTTTATGTTTGGAATATATCTTTGTTGTGTAACCGGAAGAATAGTTGGGTTAGACAAAGGTTGGTTAGAAGTGTATGCTATGGTTGTTGGAATTTATTATGATTTACAAGTGGACTATGCTACTTAGTTATGGAAGGAATTTCTCAAAAGCATTGAGAACACGAATGTGGTAGGTAGGATTTCGTGTGCTAGAAAATGGAATTTAATTTTGGAATTTCTCTACACGAAGGAACGGATTCAAGCTTCTAAAACACATGAATTGGCTGAGTTTGCTACTTATCATTATCTAAAGACAGTGGAGGATGATATTGATATTTTTCCAACTGTGGCTCGTATTCCAGATGCTATGCTTCAAAAAGTCGATCCTACTAATCCAATTCTTGTCGAATACTTGACAATGATCAATCTACCTATTCAAAATGGGAAATTATTTGATGTTACAATAGAAGGTTCTTCGAAAAAGAGGAGAGGATCGAAGAAGAATGTTCAGGAGAGTCCTCCACATGTGAGTCCAAAAAAAGTTTTGAAGAAAAGTTCTAAGAGTGATCACGTTTCAAAGAAAAAGGATCCACCGCTTGTTATTATGGAACTTATTGTTCATGAAGAAGTTTTTGTTCAGGAGAAGGAAGTTGTTTCTACGAATTCTAGTTTTCTTAAGCGGTTGAAGAAAATGACTCACAATCCTTCTCCAAATCTTCAATACAAACAACAAGTGACTCGAAAAGGGGTAATTTTTCGTGAAATTCTAACACCAGTTTCTCCACAATCAAATAAGAGGCATGCTAAAGACATGGACAAGCATATTTCTACAAAACAAATGAAATAAAAGAAGTAGAGGAAGTTAGTGTTGCACAAAAATTCAACAGATGATGAAGTGGTTCTTGAAACGCCTATTACTGAGCCAATGGGTCATACTTCACCAATGAGGAATTCTCCAATTCAATTGAATTTTGAGGAGACTGTGAATCTTAGTGGCAATGTGGAAACTTTGAAAATGGACATAACCATAAATCATGGTGAAAAAAACAAATCTTCAACTCCTGAACAGACAATGGTCATACCACCTGAAGTTTCAAATACTGAGTCATTTCATGAGGAGGTACGAACTTCAAACAACATTGCAAACGTATATGATATGGATGAAAATGTTAATATGGGTGAAGGAGTTTTACATACCGAAACCCAAGGTACTATAACTTTTGTTATATCTTCATCATTTCCTACTTCAGTTCTTGATACCACTATTTCATTACCTCTATACATTGTTCCTAATACCTCTCAAAAACTTTCAATTTCTCATTCTCCTACTTTTGACAACATTATCCAACAACTGATTACTACCTTGTTTCCTTCTCAATCTATTGAAGAACCATAATTTGTTAATGATGATGATATGGATGATGGTGGATTTATAGGTTCTTTTGCTGAGATTCAATTCAATTCTAAGTAAGAAAACATCCCTGATCAAATGTTAATGTCAGGAAAGCAGTTTAAGATCTTGAACAGGAAGGTGAATTCTTTACTTCAATTGCAAGCTGATGTTGGTGGTAAGAATTCAGTATCGGCTCTTGATGTAGATGTTATGTTACAAGATCAAGAGCATCAGATTTTGGATAAGCTTAATCACATGGAAGAGCCTACTGATTTAAGAATCAAATTTCAACTTAACTCTTTTAATACCGCCATTCGTGATTTGAAAGAAACTGCCAAGTCTCATCATATTCTGTTCGTTAAAGATATGGAGACAGTTTGTGAGAATATCAATCTTAAAGTTCAAGAATTGAAAGAAGACATGACGAAGGATATAGTTGCTTTAGATCACAATTATTTTACTCTTCACAATAAGGTAGATATAATTGTTGGTGCTATGGCCAAAGAAGTTGAGCTGTATACTTCCTTGGGGCTGAAACTGGATTCAAAATCAGAGGTTGATGCTAGTAGTTTTGGGAGTGTTGAAACTTTACTTCAGTTCTTGATACCACTATTTCATCACCTCTATACATTGTTCCTAATACCTCTCAAAAACTTTCGATTTCTCATTCTCCTACTTTTTGTCAACATTATCCAACAACCGATTACTACCTTGTTTCGTTCTCAATCCATTGAAGAACCACAATTTGTTAATGATGATGATATGGATGGTGGTGGATTTATGGGTTCTTTTTCTGAGATTCAATTCAATTCTGAGTATGAAAACATTCCCGATCATATGTTAATGTCAGGAAAGCAGTTTAAGATCCTGAACAGGAAGGTGAATTCTTTACTTCAATTGCAAGCTAATGTTGGTGGTAAGAATTTAGTATCTGCTCTTGATGTAGATGTTATGTTGCAAGATCAAGAGCATCAGATGTTGGATAAGCTTAATCACATGGAAGAGCCTGCTGATTTAAGAGTTAAATCTCAACTTATTTCTTTTAATACTGCCATTCCTGAATTGAAAGAAACTGCCAAGTCTCTTCATATTCTGTTCGTTAAAGATGTGGAGACAGTTCGTGAGAATATCAATCTTAAAGTTCAAGAATTGAAAGAATACATGATGAAGGATATAGCTGCTTTAGATCACAATTATTCTACTCTTCACAATAAGGTAGATATAATTGCTGGTGTTGTGGCCAAAGAAGTTGAGTTGTATACTTCCTTGGGGCTGAAACTTGATTCAAAATCAGAGGTTGATGCTAGTAGTTTTGGGAGTGTTGAAACTTTACTAGAAGAGTTAAAGGATATTGTATCAAAGTATGATTTTCCGTAGTCTTAAGTAGTTTCTCTTGAATCGTTCATAGAAAATTTGCGCATGTTAGAGTCAACAATTCAAAAAGAATTGGCTCGACTTGCGAAATTTGTAAATTTTATGCCAACAAATGCCCCACCTGTAAGCACAACGGTGCAAGGGGAGAAAGACGAAATGTTAGCAATGGGAGTGGAAGTAAAGGAAAAGGGGGTTCTGGAAATGTTGTTGGTGATGCGAGAGTGGTTGGTAGAGTCTTGACTACTCAGATTCCCACTTCTCTACCAAAAACTCCGATTGTTACTTCATCAACAATAGCAACAACAAGGCCTATCACAAAGGGCATTGTTATTAGAACTGCTGGAGGAGAGTCGAGTTCATCAAAGCCAAATCCAAGTTAACAAGACAATGACAAAGGAAAAGGCATAAGTCTTGAAATGATGAAAGAATAGAGAAATGTTGCTCTGGAAGCTAAGATGGAGAAACAAAGACAAGTCGAAAGTATTCTTCGACAACATGCAAATGATCCTCCTGGTCTTGACAAAGGTGATCCAACAAATCTATATCATTGTGAATATATTTTAGCTTTGACAGTATCTGGGGAGATGTATGAGATTGAAAAGGTACCAAGGAGAAGCTTCGACATAATCAACTTACCAATGAATCAGTAGGACTTTCCTTTTTAATAAAATGTTGTTTTTTTGAAGAACAATTCGAAATTGCTGAAAAGTGTAAGGATAAGTCTAAGTTTAGGCACATGAAGTTTCATTTTCATGTTGTTATGGGAAAGAAGGAGGAGGAGGTATTTTCATTAGTCAAGATAACAAGAGTTCTTGGTATAACAAAAGACACTTTGTTCGAAGGCATGTTACATAGTTATAGGTTTCATGTTCTCCGATCAAATAATGTTACATCCGACTTCTTTGTTCCCGATTTCCCTTTGATGAATCTTCATGATCTTTTAGTGGGGGCATTGATTATGAAGAGTGTGGATGTGTCGAAACTTCAAGTGACAAATAAAGAAGATTTTCTGAACGGGTTTGGTAACTTAAAGGTTTTCATCGAAGGATATTTTGGTTCGTTAGCCTTAACTGATGTTGAATTGGCTAAAATTTTGGGGAAAAAAGTCGAAATTCCTCAATCCATGCTAATGACGAAGGCAAACATTAACAAGCTTGAAGATGGAAAGCTTACCTTGAAACCTTTGGGAATTGCTTTTGTAAGGAAAAACAAAAAGGGAAACAATTCTGAATTTACGTTTCAAGTGTGAGATGTGGAAAGATACACTTCATCTCATTAAACTAATCTCTTAGTGTGGAAGAACAACTCTGAAAAAAACATACAATGACAAAGAGAAGGCAGAAATTCGCAAGATTATCAACTGGTATGCTGAGATCTGAAGAACAATTCATCAAGCTACGGAAGTTTTAATGAACTGATTTGTCACTACTCACAAAGGGGGAGAATGTGGAAGTAAAATTTAGTTGTGAGGTGTCGAATGTCATTTTAATGGTTTGTTAGTTTGTAACTTTATTACAAGGGCACTTTTGTTACGAAGCTTAATAGAATAGTCCTTTGTATTTTTTGTTCGATTTAATTTTTCCTATAAATAGGGAAGTATACTAAAGTAGATAAGGACTTTGCTTTTTCTCAACGATGTAAAGTTGTCTATTTTCTTTGTACTCATTGAAAGTTAATCAGAGCCAAACAAATTATATTTACTTCGTGTGTTCATCAATCATTCTCTACTGTGATCATGTTATTCAATATCAGTTTCATTGAAACTACAGAATCTGTATAGAAAATTTTCAATACAAAAATTAATGAATCATGTAGTTTTCTATTCTAGACTCATCACGATAGATGATGTTTGTTGTGGTTATATAAATTTGTAAAACTATCACGCCTATTTTAAAAGTTATTAATAAATTTAAAACTTTACCATAATTAATTTTGATCATACATTCACATAATATTTGTTAGTTATACTTGATTCTCTCTTTGTGTGTGTGTGTGTGTGTGTGTGTATATATATATATATATATCCATCATATCTTCCATATATCTTATCAAGTTACCACAACCTAAATAGTTGTGAAATATATATATATATATATATATATATATATATATATATATATATATATATATATATATATATATCACTGTTGTAAAAATCCTGACCCGATTAATCCCTAGGCGCTACTCGACCGATTAGAGGGCGCCTAGCGATTAATCCTTGCATACATAATGATTGAAACATTATAAAACGATGAAATTTTAACATTTTGAAGAAATTTTATCTTAATGTAAACTATTTGAGGCATGATTAGTGTTGTATTAATCATATTAATCTATTTTGTTATCAAATTAATGGTATTTACGAACTTTGATATGATATTAGTCATATTCTTTTTTCTAAAATTCAACAAATTAGCAATTAATGGTACCCGATTAATTCCTCGATTAATCACTTGACCCCAGTCCACCAACTAGCTAACGTCGAGCGATTTTTGCAACCTTATATATATATATATATATATATATATATATATATATATATATATATATATATATATATATATATATACACCTAAAATATAATTTCACAACTACTTGGGTTGTGGTAACTTGATAAGATATGTTGAAGATATTATAGATAACCTATTGAGCTATATTCAAAACTTAATACTATTCAATTCATGTGGTTATGAAAGCTACGCGTGCAATCACTCCATCACATTAAGGATAGCCTCATGGTTGCAGAGAGAAATTAATCGGTACAAAAAAAACTGACTCAAAAATATAAAACACCTTATTTTTTGTTTAAAAGTAATTTTGCTTTTATCTACGTGGAGAACCAACTAAATTCATTTTTTCACTCTTTATCAACAACATTTTATATGGAGTTTCAGAGATATATATATATATATATATATATATATATATATATATATATATATATATATATTTTGATATTATAGGGAAATCTCCGAAAAAAATCATAATATTTCACCTTAATTTACAAAAAGTCACAAACTAAAATTTATTTATGAAAAAGTCCTAATTACAAGTAAAAATGATGATTTAACCATTATTTTTTCCGATTTTTCGATTTCAATACTTACCCAGTTTTATTAAAGTCCTACTATTTTACAATGATTTCATTAAAGTTCTATTATTTTACCATAATATGGGACTTATTTATAAGTTATGGTAAAATAATGTGACTTCAATGAAACATGGTAAGTATTAATATCGATAAACTGAAAAAAAAAAAAAAAAAAAGGTTAACATCGTTATTTTTACCGGTAATTAAGATTTTTTTCGTAAACAAATTTTAATTTAAGATTTTTTCGTAAATTAGGGTAAACTATTGAAACATTTCCAGAGATTTCCCAATATAATATTATATGTTGTTTTTAGGAATTAACAACTTTAAATTTTGATGTAACATTTTTAATTTTTCACTATATAAATTATCTAGTAAATAATTATTAAAATTAATAAGAAAAAGAAAAAGAAAAACCGAGCTCTTCTTATTTTGAAATGTTGCAATCGTCGTTTGTGATTTTAGGTTGGTAGTTGGCATCTTACTACAACCGGGAGTTATTAATGTTTACAAAAGTTAATATTATTGTTATGGTATTTTAATCCCACGACCGGTCGTGTGAAAGATTGAAAAACAGGACAACAATTTTATTTTGGACATCGATGAAACAAAACAAAGATTAGGAGGCTGGGGACGGGGCTTTGATGAGATTGTGGGATTTCATGATTCGGTTTGGAGTTTATAACTATCTTGGAATTGATATCGTATTGATTTTTTTTTCCGAACCGAGTACCGTAACAGTTATAGTTAGCAGAAGAATTTAACTACAAATAATGTAAATAACGTGCACCAATTTATTTGACCATTCAAAAATTTGATTGGTACATCTTGGTATTGGTATTTACCAAAAACTTTAACTAATTTTTATATTTGAATAATTTGACACTTAATTGGCTATATTACACTTCACATTTTAATCATCATCCAATGGTTAGAAAATATTCCAAAATAGAAAAGAAAATAATCAAAAAAGTTGTCATCGATGTTTAATACTGTTTACGTACATATAAAATAAAATAACTATCATGTACAATGAAAAGTAAATACATTCAACCATTACATTGTTATGCACTAACTATATGGTTGTTTCACCCCTTGATTGTAAATATTATCTATAAATAGATAACAAAAAAGATATATTCGTATATGAAGTAGTTAGTTAATTATTAAGTTAATTGTTTTTAGGTTTCTTATTTTGAGTAATGTATAAGTAATTATTTATTGTATGTCTAATGCAATTTTGCTACTCTTAATTGAAACATAAAAATGTAATAATTAATATTTGTTCATATATATATATATATATATATATATATATATATATATATATATATATATATATATATATATATATATATATATATATATATATATATATATATATATAGGCCTAGGATTAAATATAAACTACAAATATTATGTGAATGTATGACCATTTCTTATCCATTGGATTAAAAAAAATGAATAGGTATGATATGAGTGTACATATGATTAACATGGGATAACATGTACTGTATAATTGCACTTAATAAATTATTAAAGTATTTTAGTCAATTAACCTATATTTAAAAAGGAAAGACTACTTATTTATTGCATAATTTAATTGGAGTTTCATTAAATACTTATTTATCTTATTTTACAAAATTAAGCATGGATAATTACATTATTTTGTTTTAGAAACGCAAGTCCATAAAACTAGTTTCATACATGGAGTTTATTTGATTCTTTAAGAATGATTCATAACTATTATCTAACATATTCTTGAAGAAAATGAAATATTCATTCTACACAAACAAAAGTTATAATACCAAATGAAAATTCTTGAGGAATATGAAATATTCGTTTTACATATAATCAAAATTTAAACAATATATCATAATTTTAAAGAATATACAGTAAATAAGCCATTTTTTATATGAATTTCAACATAATAACTATTCTAAAAGAATACAAAAAGAATATGCATTCTAAAACATAATGATAAAGATTCTTTCTCAGAGAGTATTATTCATCATCTTCTCCAAGTGTTTTTGATCATTGTCTTCATATTCTTGAAGAGCATGGTGCATTGTTAAAGACTATGAATTACCTAAGACTATAATTAGTAACAAACACTAACATGCAAATGAAAATATTTGATTCTTATTGTTATGAAAAAAAAAATTATAAACATAATAGATATTTGTTATAGAAAGTAAATTATTAGTACATAATAATTCTTAAAGAATGTGTTTGGTTGCATACAAAATTAATTGAACTTACAGTACATGGTAAAACTAAATATATATT